GGGGGCGGGGGTGGGGGATTTTGCCCACCCGCCGGAGGTGAGGGTTTTGCGGGGGCGGGGGTGGGGGATTTTGCCCACCCGCCGGAGGTGAGGGTTTGAGATAATCCATCCATCCACATGTACAGTTGAGGATTGGTGATTTTACCCATTTGCTGTGTTTGCGGTTAAGGTCATTTACTCACCCATTCTCTTAGGGTGCTGCTTTTGCCCTGGTGTGGGAGATTGGCTGTTGAGAAGTTTGGATGATTGGGGAGGTGCTGATATGTTGCAGATTTCTGATTTCAAGGATGTGAGCTGGCAAAGACTATAAAGTGAGGTGAGGCAATGCTGTGGCTGCAGTATGTTTCAAGGGCATTTGGGTGGATGTTAGTGTATTTGTTTGGGTATTATAAACAGGAATTCTAATATATAATTCATTCCCCATTAGCCCACTAAATACACTAGCTTCCATCCCACTGCACTGAGACAAATGGAATATTGTCATCCATTGCTAGAGGGATGGAGTTTAAAAATATGGAGATAATGCTTCAGCTGGAGTACTGTGCACAATTTTGTTCTCCTTACTTGAGAAAGGATGTGCTGGCACTGGAGGGGGTGCAGTGGACTTTCACCAGGTTGATTCTGGAATTAGGAGTGTTGGTTTATGTCAGAGTTTGAGTAGTCTGGGACTACACTCATTGGAGTTTAGAAGAATGTGTGGGAATCTTGTAGAAACATAATATTATGAAGGGAATTGATAAGATAGAAGCAAAAAGGTTGTTTCCACTGGCAGGTGAAACTAGAGCTGAGAGCATACACTCACTATAAGGAGGAGCAGAATCAGGCTGAGTTGAGAAAGAACTTCTTCACCCAAAGGGTTGTGAATCTGTGGAATTCCATGCCCAGTGAAACAGTTGAGGCTACCTTCTTAAATGTTTTTAAGACAAAGACAGATTTTTGAACAGTAAAGGAATTAAGGGTTATGGTGTGTAGGTGGGTAAATGGACCACAAAATGGTCAGCCATGACCTTACTGAAATGTGGAGCCGGCTCGATGGGCCAGATGGCCTACTCCTACTCCTATTTGTTATGTTGTTATGAGACAAGGTCCAGCTGCAAATTGTAGCTGTGACTGTGGCCTACCCCAACTTGGCAGTCTTTGCCAGTTTACATTAGAAGTTTAGATGAAATCTTAAAGACTGGATAGGATTAGTAGGTTTCAGGAGCAGGGAAATTCATGAGTCAGGGTATGATAAAGATTGGGTCCCCCTTGTCCTCACTTTCCTCACCTCCAGCTTCCACATCCAACTACTTCCAACTCCAACTAGACCCTGCCACCTGGAACATCTTCCACTCCCCACCCCTGTCTGCCTTCCGCAAGGACCATTCCCATCACTACTCCTTAGTTCTTACCACACTCCCCACCAACCACTTCTACCCATCTGGTACCTTCCCCTGTAACCGTAAAAATTGCAGCACTTGCCCGCACACCACCTCCCTCACCTCCATCCAGGGCCCTAAACAGTCTTTCCAGGTGAAACAGAGCTTCACCTACATCCTCCAACCTCCTTTATTCATTAATGGGATGTGGGCGTTGCTGGCTGGGCAGCATTTATTGCCCATCCCTAATTGCCCAAACGGTAGTTGAGTCAATCACGTTGTTGTGGATCTGGAGTCACACGCAGGCCAGGCCAAGTAAGGATGGCATTTTCCTTCCCTGAAGCACATTAGTGAACCAGGTGGGCTTTTCCGCCAATCGATGCATGGTCATCATTAGATTCTTAATTCCAGATATGTTATTGAATTCAAATTCCACCATCTGCACTGGCAGGATTCGAACCCAGGTCCAGAATGTTATCAGACTCTCTGGATTACCAGTCTAGCAATAATACCACTAGGCCATTGCCTCCCCACCTAGTCTATTGCGTCCGATGCTCCCAATGTGGTCTTCTCTACATCGGTGAGACCAAATGTAAACTAAGTGACCATTTCACTGAGCACCTTCACCTGGCCCGTAACAGCCAGCCTAACCTTCTGGTCACAGCCCATTTCAGCTCCCTGCTTCCCCTCTGTCATGTCTGTCCTCGGTCTCCTCCAGTGTTGCAGCGACTCAATGCAAATTTGAGGAACAACACCTTACCTTCCGCCTGGGCACCCTACAGCTGGAGGACTCAACATTGAGTTCTCTAATTTCAAATAGTGTTCCCACCCATCTCCTCCCTTCCATTCCACCTACTGACCCTCCCTCCCATTGACCAACCAGGTCGTACCTACTACCACTATCCACCTATCACCACCATTCTGCTACATCCCCACCCACCCCTTCCCCCCCCCCCCCCCCCCCCCCCCCCCCCCCCCCCCCCTTTATCTGGAGCTCCCCCTAACCCCGCGTCCAGCCCTGAAGAAGGGTAATACCCGTAATGTTGACTTCTCCTTTCCTGCCAATGCTGCCTAACTTGCTGAGTCCTTGCAGCCTCCTGTTTGTCTTCCTTGGATTCCAGCATCTGCAGGTTTTTTTGTCTCTAACTTAAGTTGATGTCTTGCTGAGTACGTTTTAAATTAAGAGTTAGTATAAAATAGCTGTCTTAAAATCAGAAGCAGTAAGTAGCATTAGTATTTTTGTGATGTATTTGAACCAATCCTAATGTATGATGCTTGGTGGTTAAAATAAAATTTGCCTAACCATTTCTGTTTCTAGAGCAATCTATAGATAGCTCTTAACTTTTGATTTTGATGTGCATCATAATTTGAGGGGGAGGGAGGCAGAACAGTTGCAGTTCCATTTGATTATCCCGATGGCAAGCCCAGAAGATTTACTCCTTGCCCTCAGTTGAATACCACAAAATTGATTCCCACCCAAAGTCAGTTGAAATGACTTCACTGCCAATGGGTGGGAGTGAAACATTGTCGAGGGAGATTTTTTCGCTGCTGAGGACAAACGGAAACAATGTCTAACAAAGTAGGTGAAAATAAAAATATTTTGCTGTTGTAGAAGCCAGGGAAATTAAAATCTAACCAGCCTTTTAACAGAGAACTGCCAGCCGCCTTGGTCAATAAGGATTCTGCATAAAAGTTTTATTTTCAAATTTGCTGTTATCTGCTGGGCCCCTCAAATGCAGAAGTTAAAATACATCTGTAGCCTTCATGACATCAGTCCATAACTTCAAGATTTGAAATGGACTCCCTGTTTGTAGCAAGAATATTTTCAAATTAACATTTGGTGTGGATGAGTGTCATCAGTTAGGGACAGTGATCTCAGGTCAGTATATTAACTCTGCTGGTCCAAGCGCAAGTACGGTAAATTTGATCTCAACTGAGCAATCCTTAGCGTACAATATGGTAAACAGTAATATAGATTATTCATGTTAGATGTGTTACATTACCAATGTATGGGGTCCACTACCGTCTTGACAGTTAGTGTGTTAAACTTGAGATCAAGTTTGCAACTAGTTGTGTAATTTTGTTGCAAGATTTGCTCAAAACAAGCCAATTGTGGATAATTGCATACATACTGTAATTTTCCTGAAAAATATTTTCATAATGGTATGCGTGCAACAAAGAAGATACATTATAGCAAAACCATAAGTTCTAAAATATATTAGAAATATGCAGTGGGTCTGCTAGCATGAGAAAGAGGGCAATTTATATTTTGGCTAGAGACTCTTCATGATTGCTGGGCTATGCCTACCTCAGATTATTTGACTGAGCAGGTGTGTACTTTGAGTATTACTTTTCCTTTAGTTCCCACATTGAGCTTTACCCCTACCTCCCCCCACCCCCCAATCTACCCATGTGTTTTCTTACATAATGGGTCCTATTACGTATGGTAGAATTGTAGACAACAGTTGGATCAATGTGAATTTGAACGAGTGAAACACACTCAGGACTCAGCATGGGGTATCTCATTTTGGATCTTGTATGAATTCGACATGCACACGTTATGTTATTTTGCGGATATAAAAATTGGCCATGTGTTTGAAAGCGAGGAGAAACAAAGTTTTATGTACTCCAAGAGAATATCACTTGGCTGTGTAGTTCTGGAAGAAAGTGGTAAATATAAACCAATTTGGTCAAATGTGAAATGATGTATTTGGAGAGGTAAACCAGGACAAGGCAATATGCGATAAATAAATGGCATGATATAGAGAATTGTAGAAGAGCAGAGGAATTGGTGTATCCACTGATTCACGTCACCTCGAGTTCAAGAAAGTAAGAAAGCATAGAGTGCACTTTCCTTTATAAGCTGGGGCAGAGAAGAGTGGGGAAGTTACAGTAGAATGGTAT